TGGTGGGCCAAAATTTTTATTTTTAATGTTGGGCAAAAAATTTTGTTTTTAATATTGGGCTAAAAGTTTTGTTTAGCCTTCTGCTTTGGGTGGATTGTGATAGGTCAAATATTTGATTTTTTAATAAGTTTGGATAGATAATAGTGAGTTCAATTTTTTTTGTTTTAAATGGACTTAATTGTTTAATTATTTTGAGTAAATAATGTGGACCTAATATAAATGAGGAGGACACACATAATATATATGTATAAATATATAACACATATATCTAACTAATAAAAAAAAAAATTGAGGGGGCACGTACCCACCCTAGCCCCTACCTCCCTCCGCCCATGTTTATATATGTTGTAGAACAAGTTCTTTTTTGAATTAAGAAAAAATTTGAACAATTTAAAACTTATGAAAATATTTTTTGGATTTTTATTTAGTTTTAAAAAATTAAAATCTTTAGACGAAAATAATTTGCAAAAGCATTGTCTTAAGCTTGAAATGTTTCTAAAATGTGGTGTATCTACTGATATTGATGACTTAAATCTACTTTCAGAATTAAAAATTTGATAAAAATTGAAATCAATACTCTAATTGAAATACTAAACTATATAAAAAAATTATATATTTTTTTGAATGCATGCATTGCTTATAGAATTTTGTTAACTTTACCGGTAACAATCTTTTCAGTAGAAAATAGTCTTTTCAAAACTAAAATTAATAAAATCTTATTTACGATCAATTAAGTCACAAGAAATATTGAATGAATTACATATATTATTTATTGAGAAAGATTTATTGACAAAACTTAAATATAAGAATTTAATCAATATTTTTATATCTCAAAAAGTAAGACAAATAATTTTTAAATAAATAAAAAATCAAATTACAATAATTAAAAATAATATATATATATATATACACAAAATATTAATAAGGCTCCGTGTAAAGTTTTCGCCTAGGACACTCGTTTACATTGGCCGCCCCAGTTGGATTTATTAGTATTTGTCTTATCTCTAGTTTTTAATCAATATAAAGGCTCAATTTTCCATGCAAAATCAAAGTACATTTACTTGTATGGACAACCCAACGATGTGGAGTTAGACCTAGACGAATTATAGAATTAGATATTTAAAGTTTGACTTTTGTTGGTGTCTCTCAAATTTAACTAATAACTATAATTTACAGATAATTACAAATATTTGAATTTATTCTCGTAAGGACAGGTCTAAAACAATGTTGCCTTAAAGAGGTTCCAAACGAAAATACATACAACTTTAAGAGTCTCAATGGGTGCATGAGCTCAGCTGGGAACTAAAGCTGCAATCCAATAAATCACAGCCTCATTCCGAGCAACTCATACATACCCTTAGATATGCCATCAAAGCACTGTCAAAGATTCACAGCCTGAAAAGGATTTTTGTTAAGAGGGCGGATTAATAAAGTTGTTTTGTCGTGATTTGAGAATCAAGAGTTCAAATCGCATACACAATCTCTTCATTATATGCTAAAATTATATATATCATTCTCTAGACGGACTGCTCTACTATAATGGATTCTTGTTATCGGAAAGAGTCCAAAGACTGGTGTATGATATTGCTGCTATTTTTTTTCTCTGAACTAAACACGACATTATTAGAGCCTTTTTAGCCTTTATTTTTTTTGTACTCAAATTTAAATTTGGTTATCTCATCTTTTAAAGATCTAATAGTCATATTTTACCCTCTTTTAAATTTAAATTTTTTTTTTAATTTTGAATTTCTCCATTGGAGAGGTCTATACAAAATCAACCATTTTATCCCTTTTTAATTTTCTTTAAGTTTCTATCACTGATGGTCTAATCTAATCACTATCAAACTATATTATGCAATTTTTGATCCCACAAAAAAAAAAGCAAAAATTACGTTATACAAACTTTGTTTGTACATATGGTAAAAAACTCTTATTATTTGTTATTACTTTTTAATTTCTCTTGGGTGACCTTGAAAGAGTCACTTCCAAGTTGTAACTATTTAGTTTGCTCTACAAGACAGATGCAAACAAACAAAAAAACTTGAAAGTTTTTACTCCAAGACTGACTTAGCTGATTCAACACCCACGGCAGGTTCCAACTAATTTATTAAAGTCGGCCACTAATTAGTGACTCATCATCCAACAAAAACTGAATATATCACCCATTGTGTCTGCCTTGCCCACGTATACCCCTCAAAACAGTATCTACTAGATACAACACTTTGGGTGGGCAAACTTCACTATCTCGCCTGGACAATCTGATGATTTATAATTATTATTTATTGTCTGTGTTTGAAGGCATGGAATAATAAAAAAAATTATCAGTCATAAATATATTTATATTCAAATCTAAAATCAAATTACAGACATAAAAGAGAGAGAAATAAATTTAAGTAATGGTTGTACTAGTGGTGGTGGATTGTAGCAGTGGTGGGGCGGTAGTGGTGTTGGTGTGAGACAGTAATGGTTGTAATAAGCAGTGATGACTGTGGTGGTGGTGGAAGTCGGGGGTGATAACGATGATAGTGGTGGTGGGTTATGGATGACAATGACAGTAGTGGCAACCATGGATGATAACGGTGGTGGGTGTGCATATTGATGGGCGACAGTAATGGTGATTGGCAGTGGTGGAGGTGGAGTGATGACAGTGCTGGTGGGTTGTGGTGCTGGCGATGACGATGGTGTTGGTTGGTGTGAGTGGTGGTGGGCGACGACAAGTGCTTGCAGACGACGGTGATGGTGATTGGTAGTGAATGACGATGGTGGTGGTGGTGGTGGGTATGGCGAGGATGGATAACAGTGGGTGGCTACAGTAGTAGACAATAATGGGTGTTGGTGGTGGTTGGTGTGGTGGGAGTAGGTGACAGTGGGTGGTGGCGATGGTGGGCGACGACTGGTAATGGTGAGTTGTGATAGTAGGTGGCGATGGTTGGTAGTGGGCAACGATGGTAGTGGTGGGATGATGGTAGCGGTGGGAAAATGATAGTAATGGTAATAAATATAAGAATGCGATAATGATGGTAGTGAGTGGCGGCGATAATAACAATTGATAATGAGTGATGATAGTGGTGGGTGGTTGTAATAACGATAGCTATGGTGGTGGTGGGGTGGCGGCAATAGCGATGATGATGATGATAGGGGTGGGAGGTGGCGATGGTAATGGGGGTGGCGGATCAGTAGGCTTGTTGGGGGGTGACTATGACAGTGACGACGGTGGTGGTGGTGTGACAGAGTGATGGGGTGGTGGTGTTCGTAGTGGGGCAGCAGCGACAATTGTGGTGGTGAAGTGTTTTATAGAGAAGTGATTTTAAAAAAGTATAGTTTTTTTTTTGTTTTTGTTTTTTTACTTATTTATTTAAGTGATAAAATTATTTTTGACTTATTTGAAAGTAATTAAAGTAAAACACTACTTTTTTTTTTAAAGTGTTTATGAGAAGTCATAAGTCTTAAAAATACTTTTGAAAAATCACCTCAAATATATCCTTAAGTGGTTTATTTTTCCTATTAAATTTGGAGAGTTAATATTGGTCGTCAAATTATCTTTACAGTAAAATTTAAAACAATTTTAATTGCAAAAAATAAAAACTTTTTGTTATGTTGTACTTTATTAGATAGATGTGTATTTAATAGTTTTAACAATACTTATATTTTAACCACTCTTTTATATTTTAAACATAGTAAATATTTTAATCACTCAATCATATTTTAACCACAATAAAAAAAAATAAATACTTGACCGTTCGTTGCACGAGATCATGGGCGGAGCTACACAACTCAAATTTTTTTTTAACAATATTATATGTATACTCATATTTACATATTCTACAAATTATACATATATTTTTTATTTGTAACCACTCTATAATTTTCTTACTTCAATTTTTTTTTATTATATTAAGGTTTTCTCCAAATGATCTTAATTTTATTATTTATCAATTTTTTTAATTGAAATTTTTACAATTGACCTTCATTTAATTTTTTTTCTACGAAAAATCATCTATATTTTCAATCGAATATTGATTATAGTATTTACTATGTGTCAATCGATTTTTAATTTTTTTACTATGTTTAACTCTTAAATTTTAGTTTATTAGTTTTACTATACTAATATGTTAATGGTAATGTTTAGACCATTGTTTATTGAATAAATTTAATAGATTATTAGTAAATAACTGATTTTTTTAATTATAAAAATAATAATTAACTCTACTTTTTTATAATGGTGATAATTAGTCATTTTTTATACATATACAATATACATTATTTTTTGACATTTTTATGTTAAATGGACTTCATGTATCAAATATGATATAATAAATATAAATATATTATATAGTGTGATTAATTAGGAGGAAAAAAAGTTAGAATGTTCAACCTAAGCAAATTTTTGACAACGCGCCTACACGAAATACCCTAATAATACTTTATGGAAGAACAAATACTCCAATCCTTAGCTAAGAAAAATTATTTTAAAAAAAAAATTATTGTTTCTAGACTAGTTCTTCATGCTTCATAAGGATAGTATAATCTCAAGACTCCCAGCTCTCTTCTCCTCCAGGGGAATAGCACATTTAGCTTTTAGCAGCCGTTAAACAACATATGAGGTACTCTTATCCTGTCTTTTCAGACCTTAAAATGAAACAAAAAAACAAAGGTTATTCTGCTAAATAGTGTAAGATTACAAGCAGAGGAGGAGAAATACATGTTGAAATTAAACTTGGACCCACAGACTGGGCGGATGGCAACCCAAACAGAACCAATGCATGTGCACTTGACTTTGCTTAATGGATTACTTGAACCCCTCCGTCGCTCTTGGCCGGCTATCGGCCCCATCTTGTGTCCCCGTCTGCGTGTGTTGCTTACTTTAATTCCCTTATAAATAGAACCACCCACTTCACCTCCCTCCCCCCAAGTTTTCTACGGTACATCACTCTATCGTACTATTCTAAGCCTTACCGGTCCGAGCAGTCTCTCCTCTAAAACAGCCCAAAATCCTTGCAATGGCCGCTAGAACATACTCTCACGCCAGAGTCCTCCTCTTTCTTCTCCTCAAGTTACAGCTACGTAGCACTATAGCCGATTATGGAGACTGGCAAAGTGCTCACGCCACATTCTATGGTGGCGGTGATGCTTCGGGCACAATGGGTAAGTCCGGTCATGTAATTAGGCCTCACAATATTAGACACCAATGTGCATCTCCGATACGAAATCAACATGGATTAGCATGTCTTGCTTTAGCCTTATGAAGTACAATGGTGAAAGGGTGAACCTGCCAAATCCGTGAAAAAATGGTTTAGTCATATAAACTAGAATAAACACAACATGAACTCTGCTTAACACAGTTTATATACCATACCAACATGACGCCGCATAAATTTGTCTATACGACACGATCGACTTAAAAACATGATCAACCCAACCCATTAACATCCCCACATATAATTTTCTACTTCCATCATTTCCTTTCCAGGAGAAATGGACTGTAAACGCCTAAACGGGGCTTTGGTTTTGCAGGAGGAGCATGTGGCTACGGGAATCTGTACAGTCAAGGGTATGGAACAAACACTGCAGCACTCAGCACAGCATTGTTCAACAATGGCTTGAGCTGCGGGGCGTGTTACCAGATGCAATGCAATGATGACCCCAAATGGTGCAACTCCGGCACCATCACTATCACGGCTACCAACTTTTGCCCCCAAAACTATGCCTTGCCTAGCAACAATGGTGGCTGGTGCAATCCTCCCCTTCAACACTTTGACTTGGCAGAACCTGCTTTCTTGCAAATTGCTCAATACCGCGCTGGAATTGTGCCTGTAGCCTTCAGAAGGTAAGAGTAGTATTAGCTCTGCTCTATCTGGCCAAAGTGACAATTTTGTTTAAACAAACATGACTAATGCTTATAAAGTCTGATTATATACAGAATCTATCCTACAAAATTATGTGACTCCATGGGTTCAATTCACTTAATTTGAACTTTAGAGAGATTGATTTCCAGATTCCATCTCGTAGTAAAAAAAATGGTGCTGAATTTCCAATTTCATTATTATCACTTTACAATCACCAAAAACAATAATAAAGTTCACTACGATTAGGTCTTCATTCGGTTTTGGATTTGGCAGGGTTCCTTGTGTGAAGAAGGGAGGAATTAGATTTACCATCAATGGCCACTCTTACTTTGACTTGGTCCTGATCACCAATGTAGCAGGTGCAGGAGATGTCCATGCAGTGTCGATTAAGGGGTCCAAAACGGGCTGGCAGACCATGTCAAGAAACTGGGGTCAAAACTGGCAGAGCAACTCATACCTTAATGGGCAGAGCCTTTCGTTTCAAGTCACCACCAGTGATGGTAGGACTGTGACAAGCTACAATGTGGTGCCTGTTAATTGGCAATTTGGTCAGACCTTCGAAGGGGGCCAATTCTAAGTTCCATTGTTGGTAGTTTATTTGGTGGAAATTTAGAATATTAACAAGTGATTTTTGCATCTGTAAGTAAGAGCAAGAATAGGAAGTGGAGGTTAGGAAGGCAGGCCCCCAGAGCTGAGGTAGCTAAATAGCACCTGCTGGTCCTTAGATATTAATATATTTTTTAGAAATATAAATATTTTATCTAGTTTTGCTATTCCCACCGAAAGCCTCTTATGTATCATCCATCCAAACAATATATCGCAAGTGTGAAATCAGTTTCTTCAAGGTAAAGTTGTCTACCACTTACATCTCCCAAGTCTGTTATAAGCAGGGACCTTTTTGCACTGGACACGTTTGACGTCCCTGTTACATTGGATTGGTTCAATTACCATGTTATATGTAATTAATTCTAAAAATTTGAGGAACACCGCAATACAATCATACAAAACATGATGTACAATATAGAACTCACAACTTGATGCCACAAACCAAGTATGAGGGGCAAAAAGATATTATGAATCAGAATTATGACAGTAAGTTCCCCTGGGATTTCGAATATGACAAGATGAATAAACTTCCCCTTCATGGGAAGTGCAATGAAAAGATAGCTAGAAGGTATTAATGGTTGCCCATTCAATAAAATCACCAACTGCATAGTTCTACCTAGAGATATTAACCAGCCTCTGATTGGTAGTTGAAGAGGCTTAAAATACCACCTGCCCTGTAGCCAAACAATTTTTTTTTTGCTGGAAATAGTCAAACAATTAAATAAGACATAAATAATATAGTTTCAAGTAATGAAAGCCCCAGCCATATAAGCTGCAGTTCATGAAGGCAAATGCAAGTTGTTTGTATGGCCCAGGAACACAGGCCAACTAGAAGATTCCATTGCATATATGGGCAGGCTCAGCCTACACATTTCTAATGTTACAAAAATCAACATAGATCTAGTAACTTACCATTAACATATAAACCCAGCTAGGGAAGTTTAGACTAATGTTCATGGGGACTACGTGCTCATGGACTCATTATCTTCTAACTTCAAGTCCTTGTAGAATGCAGGCAACATCAAATAACTTCTATCCACCACCTTATCAATGAACCTGAAAAAAAGCTGCTGAATATAGACTGTTTGTTGTTTTCCAGAGACGTCAATCTAAAGTGACTGATCTTCAAAATATTGTCCTGTCTCTATGAACTAACAAACGTAACAACTACTAGAGCAACCACAGCACTTTTAAAGTTTTGACATTTGAATTTATAGCAATCTACCCCTCCCCCACCTGAATTGCGACATTGCTGTGCCCATTCCAAAGTCAGGGTTGTTCTTCCTTAAAAGTGAAAATTTCAAGGGAATTGTCCATCTTTCAGCGGGCTATACAAGCATATTCAGCAAATCACTTCTTTTCTCCTTGGAGAATAATGAGTTGTAACATTTAACTAGTCGACTCATTTAAGATTACTTGAGCATGTATGTGTACCTCATAATTAGAATAAGACAGACGGGCTCAGTGAATTAATGATTATCTAATAATAGGCATAAAACAATAAGCTTGATGGTGATAGATGTTTGTTCAAAATGTAAGCTCCACATATAAACAGTGAGAAATGGATGTTGTGGACTCTCCAAAAAAAAAAAAAAACTACGAAAAGCAGAGAAAGATGGTTTAACAAGGCCAAAAGAGGCAGGGTAAGCAGGCTGCAAGGTGGAAAGGGGCTCGAAATTTGGCCAATTATAGTAATTAATAGCAAACCAATCTCTGTCAAAGCTATAAGCATCAAGCTTTTGATTATAATGCTGCATTTGCTTAACACAGTGTCAGTATGACACATAGTAATGGCATGTAACTGCAGAGTCACATCCTAGTTTGCAGAAAAAAAAGAGGGTGGGGGGACTTTAAAACCGATTAAGAATGAAAGATTAAGTGTATACAGGAAACCTTGGAATCGTTCAGCGCTCCTACAACAAGCTGGTCGTTCATTTTAATTTCAATTTTTCAATTATTTAAAAAACCTTACCAAGAATTCTAGTAGGTGTCATCAAATGACAATAATAATTCTCAAAAATAATCCAAAGTGACAACAAATCTCTCGTTATGGCGATAATTATATATTGCAAGTGGTAGTCGATGCCGTCACTTACCAGGTTACCCGTGTTGAGTCAAATTATGCACAGGCTCTACTACTGGTGGTGACCTTCTGTCAATTTCTTTGAGTTTCAACCTTGCAATCATACTCCCCCCAAAACCCAAAAACTTTGATTTCTCATAAAGTGTCGGTGGAGTCTTCAAAGCAATATCCATCGATCCCTGATCGACATCATTTATGGTTGAGATTAGGACGGTATCTGATCGTCTTCAAACCCTCAACTTTTGTTATTAATTAATGAAAATATTTTTGACAAATGCTTTCACAGTTGTTCGTCTTTCATAACTCCAAAAATTTTACCTCTGATTATGAAATACGAATATTCTCGACTGTCCATGTTAATCATTACTCCGATCTCAAAAGCCAACACAATTTGACCAAAATCCTATAATGTTATCATATGCTAATGAATCCAGTGCGTAAGCTTGCTTTGAGCACTCTAATTTCTTCAAAGTAACTGCACCAGAGGAATGACACAGCCAGTTAAGGTCAGGAGTGCATCGCCAGCAGAAGGAACAAGACAACTGGTGCACACCGTGAGGCGAACCAGCCAACCCAACCTAACTACGAGCTTTTTAACTACAACAACTTAAATATACGCTATTGGAGCTGGAATTACGGCGGCTGTAGACACTAGACTTGCCCTTTAATGAATCCTCGTTAAGGGATTACATTCCAATTACCAGACTCGAAGAGTCCGATATTGTTATTTATTGTCACTATCTCTCCATGTCAAGATTTGGTAATTTGCACATCTGCTGCCTTCCTTGGATGTGGTAGCCATTTTTCAACCTCTCTCTCTGCAATCGAACCCTAATTCTCCATCACCCGTCATCACCATTGTAGGCAACTATCCTACTATCAAAAGTTGATAGAGCAGAAATTTGAATGATGTGTTGCTGGAAAAAAGGTCGTGCGATTCGTCAAGTTATCATGAATCATTGCAACAACAAGCCGCGTTGACCTTTTATCTAATAAATGCATCCCTTCCAAAAGTTGGAGTTTGTTGCATGTATTAGTTCTAGAATTACTGCGATTATCCGAGTAGAAGATACCATCAAACAAACTATAATTGATTTAATGAGTCATTGGTTGTTTCACGGTATGCGTTAATTCATACTTACACATAAATGGTTTTATCTTTGAAACAACTAGACAAGCATATGACTACTAGCAGGATCAACTAGGTAGCATTCTTCCTTGATGTTAGCATCACATGAACCCGACCAAATGAATGGCTGGTCAAAATGGGCACAACCGTCATTTGTACAAAGCGAGATTATTTAGATAAGATAAACATAGGTCTAAGACCCCATTACCCACATAAGGTTTCGTATCCCAACATTCAAGCACTGTCCCATGATCCATGCACGCCACACGCCTACATGATAGATGCAAGGCTGAGTCAACTTACCAAAGAATGAAATACAAACCTTAAGTGATATGTCCGACGTGAAGCTTAAATGTTTTAGAGTAATCATATAAACCAGGAATCTTCTTTATCTAGACCAAAATCTGCAAGCTTTATGGTAACCCTAGTTCGTTATGTGCCACAATTTGCTGCATTATCATATTCACACAATGTTCACTCAGAGATTCAAGCTTGATCAATACATTTAAATAGGAGTAAATTAATCGATACACAACAGAAACGACCATAACATCACATGTGAACGAAAAGTAATGCGAATCAAAAAGCGAAAGCAATAATTAATTATGAACAATATCTGAATAGGCTACACTTACATTAGCTAAAGCTTGGAAGTGGAAAGCTCAATAATCTCTCTCCCCCCCTTCTCTCTCTCTATCTCCCTCCCTCTCCGGTTTCCTGTCGAAGAGTGCGCAGAGTATTCTCAGAGCTACTATGGAGTGGCCACCAATTTAGGGGCGAATGATTAGGGTGTCAAATTTGTCGGGTTAAACAGTTATGTGTCGGATTAAATGGGTAACGGATGAGAAATATGAAAATTCGTGTTCGACACGTTTAATAAACAGGTAAAAAATTAAAATACGAACATGAACCATTTAATAAATGGGTAACACGACACGACTCGTTTAACACATTTAATTTTTAACGAGTCGAGTTGGGTTTGGTCGAGTTAACACGATAAACCATTCGTTTGACTCATTTACCACCCGTTTAACCCATTTACCTGTTTACCACCCATTTGACTCATTTAATACGGTAAGCCATTTATTTAATTATTTACCTGTTTATTTAAAAATGTTTTATAACATTATAAAACTAACAAACTAGTACAGATAAATGTGATATTTAGAGATATCATACCACACTATATTATAAAGTACAAACAACAATCCAAAATATCCAAATTTCACCCACAACCATATTACAAATCATAAATACAATCCGAAATAACAATCATATTACAAACCACAATTTCAAATAAACACAAATTCCATGATTCACAAAATCCCATAAAAAATATCAAATCTCCACCTCCATGATAACGAGCAGATTCAACAACCAAATTCTCATGTCCTACACAAATTAAAATGAAATATTACAAAACATTAATAATTAAATAGACTCATAACTAGATAAGTACCAAAAACTTGGCATTACCTCTCTTTAGTCATGATCGATGATAGACATAGAATTAGAACATTGAGCGAATATAACTTTATTAGACTTCATATTTTGATTGAAAACATCATCGTTTATTTTCCCTTCCGAATAATCTACAACTAAGCAAAGCAAAACATAAATGAATCAATGATCACATGAATTAGTATAATGAGAAAAATAATATTAGTAAAATAGAATTAAACTTACTGCTCTTCTCATGAATCCAATCTCTAGTACAAATCAAAGTTTGGACAGTTTCTAGCAAAAGTGAACTTCGATACTTATTCAAAACTCTACCACCGGTACTAAATGCAAATTCAGATGCAACTGTAGAAATAGGAATTGTCATCATATCACAAGCCAACCGAGACAATATAGGATGCCGAAACTGCTCTCCTTTCCAAAAGGTTAGAATATTCAAGTCCTTCTTTCGATCAAGCCTTTTTTCATTAAAATACAACTGTAACTCAATCACTCAAGAAACAGGAGAATGTTCTTCTTCATGTTTTTCAAAATCCTACATTTTGTACAAAATAATTATGAATATACAATAAACTACCTTGATCACATTCAATTCAAACAAACTAAATTATATTTCATCTGAACAAGGCTTTCGGAATTATCAAGACCATGAGTCTCGCTAACTTGTTTCTCACTACTTGAAGTACTTGGAACAACATGTGACAAGTTGACCGAGTACAATTCAAAGATCTCAAATAAAGTTTCTTGAACACACTTGAACTCATAGGAATCACCACCATAAAGTTTTGAATAAGCCTAATCTACAAACTAAATTTTGTACCGAGGATCTAAGATGATAACAATCGAAAGAATCACACTATACTTTGATCAATACTTGTCAAACTTGGCATACATATGACTTCTCATTATCCTCATAAAACTATCATTATCTGTCAATGCCTCCTTCAAAGTATGTTGAATTAGGAACACTTGGGGGAAGTACAAATTAGTTGTGGGATATGTTGTACCAGAGAATAAGCAAGTTACTTTATGAAACACCTCAACAAATTAGAAATCTTCTTTACTTTGCTCCATTCTTCTTGGGAAGGACAATGTCTATAATTAGAATCACTCAACTGTAAATGAATAAATGCACGATGATAAAAAAGTGCACTGTCAAGCATAATATAAGTTGAGTTCCACCTTGTTGGAACATCTCCTCGAAAACCTTTTTTACTCTCTAATGAAACTTGAGCAACACAATCCACGAACTTCTTTTTCCTTCCCGATGAACCTTTAACATATTTGATGCTTTCTCGAAGTTTTATCACTGATTCATCAATTTCTTTAAGTCCATCTTGGACTATCAAATTAAGAATATGTGTACAACACTGAACATGGAAGAACTCACCATCCCTCAAGAGAGCATTTTTAAGATTAAGTTGACTCTTCAACAACTCAATAAAATAATCATTACCAGAAGCATTATCCAATGTCAAAGAAAATAATTTCTTTTCAATTCCCCAATCAGTCAAAAATGTATAAATTTTTTTAGACAAGACAATACCAGTATGGGGAGAGGGCATGAGACAAAAGTTTAAAATTTTTTTCTGCAACTTCCAATCAAGATCAACATAATGGGCTGTGAGAGAAACATATCTATTAGTCGATATAGAAGTCTACAAATCAGAGGTCAAACAAATTCTTCCAGGAAGGGAACCCAACACAATTTTAAGTTTATCCTTCTCTCTCTTATACATTTTTAACACATCTGACTTTGCAACAATAATATATTTCTAAATTATTTTAAGTCCGCAGTTTTTATAATAAATGCTCCAACAATAACTAATCCATCTCGAATAAAATTATATATTTCTAAAATTCAAATTAATAATAACAAATCAAATATTTATACAAAGACTTTTGATTATTGATAAATTTTTTTATTATTCTTAGTTCTTTGACTATCTCAATCTTGATCCTTTTCTCTTAAAAAATGAATGTAAAAAAAAAATATACAATATGATAGAACAGTATATATTTTCTTGCCAACACACCCATGTAAAAACTACAAAAAAATAATTCATGTAAGTACTACCATTCAACAAACAGTATATATATTAATCCATGTAAATATACAAAAAAATATATCAACAACAGTAAATATACAATATAATAATCCATGTAAAAACTACCATTCAACAACAGTATGCCAACACACCCACTTCCTCTAGCTTCTCCTAGCTCTGTCTCCCTTTCCCACTTACCCTCTCTCTTTTTCCCCTCGTACATCTGGCTCCTCCATTATATAAAGTTAAGAAAGCTCCATCAACCATCACTTTACGCGTTTTGATGTACACAACCAACCAACAAGGTAGGTCCGTCTTATACATTTCTCTTTCTCAAAAGATCCAACGCACATTGACTGAGCTACTTCAATTCTTTTATTTCAGTTAAACCCATGATCTCTCAACAAATGAAATCAAGTTTACACCAACAAATAACAGAATATTTACGGATCTAACTCAGAATAAAAAAGAATATTTACAGATCTGCTCAAAGTCTTACCTGATCTCGCAGTTCGCTCGATCTAACACAGATCTGCTCGAACTCGAAGTCTCGGTCGATCTCGTAGGTCGCTCGATCTCGCAGCTTGCAGGTCGGTGCTGCTGTTTGCAGCTCGCTGTGAGAGAGAGAGAGAGAGAGAGAGAGAGAGAGAGAGAGTGGAGAAGAATAGCAAAAATGGAGGGCAGGTGCCAGGAGGTACAAAGCTTCAGCCTGAATAGAATAAGGAATTAGATTAGGTTTAGCCGTTTAGGACAAAATAAGTTTATATATTTTTTGTGTGGCTACTGGCTAGCTATCATTTAAAAAATATATATATGTTTAATTTTTTTAAAATAATTATTAATATATTATTATATTAATTTTATTTAAACGGGTGATAAACGGGTTGACATGTATCACCCGAACATGACCCGTTTATTAAACGTGTTAAACGGGTTGACCCGTTTAACACGTTTACCCGTTAAGGTCTCACCCCAACCCGTTTAATCCGTGTCGATTCGTGTTGGTTAATCGTGTCATGTTGAATTTTGACAGGCCTACGAATGATCCTTGCATCCCAAAATATTTTAAAATTTTTAATTTGTACCTTTTAAAGATTATTTATTTTTATATTATATACTCAATATCATAAAATAATTATGAACTAATCATCACACCAACTTTCGTTATTATTTTTTATAAAATTCATGTATTCTGTTCACAAAAAGATTTAACAAAAATAACAACGAAAGTTAATGTAAGTGTTACATTGCAATCGTGTTATGACAAAGATTTGACAAAAATAAGAAGTTAATGTAAGTGTTGCATAGCATTCGTGTTATAACATTGAGGTCGAAATGGGAAAAAAATTAAAAATTAAAGACGCAAATTGAGTTTATTTAAAAAAATGAAATTGAGAATTTTAAAAAAAAAATTGTGGTGTAAAGTGCAATTCAACCACCAATGTAAGACCAAATAATTTTTCCCATCAATTTTTACATGTCTTTAAATTAGCTTGAGTTACAGTGGTTTGCTCAAAATTTGAGGAAGTAATCGGTACAAACTTTGACACCATGTAGCCATATATATAG